TACCAAGTATTAGGTTACACTGAAAAGTTTGTTGATGGTAACAGAAATAAAAAGATAAATTGTAGGTATTATCCGAATTTATTTTCAAGTCGGTACCTACGAATAAATATTTGTGTCCAAAGTAGCTGATATAAATGGTCTACGCTTGTTTCCGGAATGTCAGTGATGTACGAAAAAATTGTTTTGGTACAATTATATCTACAATAAATATTTATTTTCGTTGTTTTGTTTACATTTGAATAAACATTGTAAAATTAAAAAATTAATATTTCGATAACATAAAAACATATAAAACATATATATTTTACAGGTACGTAATTGCGCATCGCACGCCACTGACGTGACTGGACGCAAAATATTTAACGAATTTATTAATTTACCAAAAAGAATACATTAAATTATTGTTGCAACACATAATGTTACCTGTTTAACGTTAAGAAAACGGGTATAACTATATTTACATTAATCACTTTTCAAATTCATGTCGGACGTTTAGTTCCACGTGTAAACATCAGCCACATGTAAAAATATCAACATTTCCATCCTCAGTTATATATTACATACTTCATCAATCAGCCAATCGCGTCCACTGCTGGACTTAGGCCTCCCTCAGTTCTTTCCAGTGTTCTCTACACTGGGCCGCTCGTAGCAGTTTCCCGCTACACATTTGATATCATCGGTCCATCTAGTCGATGGTCGTCCTCGGCTTCTTTTATAGTTTCTGTGCCTCCATTCCATAATACGTCTTGTCCACCGTCCATCTTGTGCTCTGACTAAGTGCCCTGCCCAGTTCCACTTAAGCGGCGTGGTTCTTTCGATGACGTCTTGAACTCCTGATCTTTGCCTAATGTTTTGGTTTGTTATGTGGTCTCGAAGGCTCACGTTCAGCATTGCACGTTCCATGGCTGGTTGTGTAACTCTTAGTTTATTCGCAGATTTTTGCGTGAGTGTTAAAGTCTCTGCTCCATAAGTTTGTACAGGTAAAACACATTGGTTATAAACACATGGTTATAAACCTTTCGCTTGAGACACATGGGAATTGAACTTTTTAGAATATGGCTTAATTTGCCAAATGCTGCCCAAGTTAGGCATATTCTCCTCTGTATTTCATGTGTTTGATAGTCTCTGCTTACCTATTTTGATTTCGTGTCCCAGATATTTGTAAGTGTCTGTTTGTTGTATGGTATTATTGTCAATAGTTATATTTCCACTCATTACGAGATTTGTTATAAGTTTAGTTTTCTCAAAGTTTATCTTTAATCCTGCTCTTTCAGACAGACTTTTAAGCGAATGCATCATAGAAACTGTATCTTGTAAATTATCTGCGATTAATACAACATCATCTGCAAATCTTGGTGATTTAATCTTTCTCCGTCTATATTGATGCCCATATCTTGCCATTGAGTGCTCTTAAATATTGACTCTAGAGCTGCCGTGAACAATTTTGGTGAAATATTGTCTCCTTGTCTAACTCCTCGACCTAAGCTGAATATTTCTGTGTCTTCGTGTAGTCTTATACTTGATGTAGCGTTCTCGTAGATGTTTTTGATTAGTGTCGTGTACCTGTAATCTATTCGACTTTGATTTAGGGCTTCCAGTATTGTTTCAAACTCTACAGAATCAAAAGCCTTCTCGTAATCGACAAATGCAAGAACTAGTGGTATGTTGTACTCGATGCACTTTTCTAATAAGATCTTAATGGTATGCAAATGGTCATTTGTGCCATATCCTGCCCTGAAGCCTGCTTACATACTTGCCTTGTATGTTTTTAATCAACTTGACGTCCTTATTACTTCCTTCTCCCGTGGTTTTTTGACTTTCTATCTCCTATAATCAAGTAATCTTAATTTTTGCTGTTTTGTTTTTCATGTTTTATTATATTCTTTTTATGTTGCTTTAGAAAAGAGACAAATAACTGTGCTCATAGAATATTTGCAAATCTATGAGTTCCATCGCTGGAATATTAATAAAATTTATAATATATTTTTTCTTATAATTTTTATTTATTTATTTTTTTATTATTTCTCTTGTAGAATGCTTCAACCGATAGTATTAGCCGAATTTATAAACTATTTTGACACGAAACAAGAAGCTTACATTGGTTGGTCGCTGGCATCCGGTGTAGTCATAATGGCATTTCTTAATGTTGTCATAACGCATAGTTGTACTTTAGATAGCCAAAGGGTCGGAATGCGAGTGCGTATAGCAGTGTGTTCCTTAATTTACAGAAAAGTAAGTGGAATTCAAATACTTTTATTAAAAAACCATTTTTGCTTTTACTATTTGATTTAGTTTCATTTAACCTTCCAGAGGTAGCGCCCTTTAATTTCTCTTGATTGGGCCCTTGTAAATTTTACATCAGTTTGTAAATAATATTTTCTTTAAATAAATTTTAATAAAGGATATAAAAATTATATTTTACAGAATTTTAAGCTAATATTTTTTCAGTCATAGTAGAAATCCGAAGTTTGCTTACTTGGGGAAACTAAAATTCAGATATTTGCCTACTGTGCTTTCTACAATATACAAAGAAGACAGATTGATGAATTAGCCGACAAGGGGAATCTATAATTTGCATTCCACGACCTGTCGGTCCACGACGGCAAAAAGCCTTCACTTACTCACGAACATGAGTAAATAAATAAATCAGAAAGACGTTTCAGATTTAATTTCAATGGAAGGCTTCTGCCATCCGCTTGTACGTATCTTGATCTTATTAGGTCTTCGCAGAGCGACTTACGCAGAAGCTCTGAATTGAAAATATACCTCTCCCGTCAAAAACGGCGGGCGAACTTTCGACACCAAATTGTCTTTGTACCTGGGGTAATCGAAGGTTCAAATTTTATTCTAGGAAATTTCGATACCGCGGCGTAAAGCAGGTAGGTAGGTAATTAGCGGCGATGGACATTTGCACCCAAGCGGGACAAGTGGGTTTTCCCAATATTTATTGTCACGGCGGGGGGCGTGGCACTTGTGTACTTGTGACTAAATTATTTCAGTTGTAATTTATTTCTTGTTTGACGTTGACTTGTGCACGTATACGGATATTTAAAAAATGAGTTTGATAAAAAGTTCCCGTGGTCGAGATTTATTAGTGGTGGAGCATTATTCGTTCTCGAAACAGAAAGTGTTAAAAAGCGTCGAGATATTTTGGCGCTGCATCCAAAGAAACACTAAGTGTTCCGCAAAAGTGTTTACAATAGGCTGTGATGACCTCACCATCACAAGAAGTGATTTGGTACATAATCATGAAGCCGATCCAAAAAAGCTTGAAGTAAAGATGGTAACCAATGCACGTAAAAGAAAAGCCCAAGAGGACATATCGGAAAAGCCTGCCAAAATTACAAGAACTGCTGTTGCTGAGTGTGATGCCAATTTGCTGACGGTTCCTGACATAGCTAGCATAAAAAAGAACATTTACAACTGTCGTCGTAAACTGTTACCAGGTCCGTTACCAAGAAGCATATCAGAAGTCCATAACGCGGTTAGTAATTATTCTCCTAAAACCTGTCGCAATGAAAGTTTTTTGTTTTTAAATCATCCTGAATTAAATGTAATTGTATTTTCATGCGAGACAAATATTCGTTTGTTGTGTAAATTAAAAACTTTGTATATGGATGGTACATTTTCATACAGTACCAAATATTTTCTACAATTATTTACTATACATGGCTTGGAAAATGGACATTATGTTCCTTTAGCATACTGTTTGTTAAAGGACAAATTGTGAATGACATAAAAAAATTTATTTTCTTTATTAAGGTTTAAGATTTTTTAAACATTTCAATTATCATTAGAGCCAACTGAAATATTTGTGGACTTTGAAAAAGCAATTTACTGTGCTTTATTGTATATGTGGCAAAATGCAAAAATTAGTGGATGCCGTTTTCACTTACACTAAAACTGGTTTAAAAAAATTCAATCTTTAGGTTTGGTACAAGAATATAAGGATACAAATTCAGAAATTGGAAAATGGTTAAGGCATACGTTTGGTTTAACTTATTTAAATCCAGCAGAAGTTGAAGAATGCTTTCTTTATGATTTAATGTCATATAAACCTATAAACGCAACACTTGATATATATGCAGATTATTTACTGGAAAATTACATTTTCGATAGCGCTCTATTTCCACCACACATATGGTCTAATCAGAATCCGTCTATTGCGAGGACCACAACTGCCTGTGAATCCTTTCATTCGAGATTTAATTCTTCTTTTTATTCAACACATCCTTCTATTTTTATTTTTATTGAAAAGTTGAAAGAATTTCAAGTAGACACTTATGTCAAAATAAATGGTTTACATATACCAGCAAAAATCAAAGATACTACTGTTAAGGCTAAATTGGCATTTTTGGAGAAAATGATGGATAAACTACGATCCCAACAAATACGTAGGTTAGATTTTATAAAAGCTTATCATTCCTATAATAGCAAATAAATCATTGTATACAAGTATATTAACGGTAAAATGTACAAAAATTAGGTACTAGTTGTATTATATTTAGATATTATTACAGTTATAAAGAAATAAAATGCACATTACTTTTATTAAAATAAATAAATTAATTAATTATGGTATTTTATTTATGTCGCAGTTATATTTATTTGGTGTCGAATATACCTGTAAGATAAAAACGGGAATTGGGGCTGGTGTCGAAAATTGCCATTAAATTTTAGTCGCTACCTGCTTAGTGTCGAAATTTCCTACGCCCGTCAAAAAAAGTCGATCTGAGGAGACCTATGAGGTTGAAATACGGATAAGCGGATGGCAGGAGTCCTGTATTGAAATTAAATTTCAACGTCCTTCTTATTTTTTTTTTACCAAAATACACGTATAATGAAACAAAATATAAAAAATATATAATTACTGACAATGGTAACACTTTATTGACGCTGAGGATATTATCTTCTCCATTGTCAGCATCTCATTTATTGTAGTAGGTATATTCGCTCAAACTATATGATAACTTGCAATTATTGACGAAAGCTTTGAATAAGTCGCGTATTGATGTCAGTTAGTAAACTTTCTTTCGATTCTCGTATTGTTGCCATCAAATCTCAAACAACGGGTCATAAAGGGCAGACTCTTGTAACTCCTGACAGCTTTTCCTATTTTAATTTCGCTACCATCGCCGGCAAAAATCTCTTTCACATTTACGTGAACAGATTTTTTTGTGACTATGAAATTTAGTATGCCATAAATTCGTGCCTTTCGACGTTTTTATAGTCACGATCTCTAAAATATTGATAAACTCGCAGCTGTTGATCAATATAATCGGTTTGTCAATAAGTCCCGGACGTAACCAGTAAAACAACATTTTTTTGCAAAAATTATTCTTTATTCATCAAAATAACGACGATACAATGGTTCCGACTCTTTTTTAATTGTTCGATGACACCCTTGTAAAATAATTTATCTTTGCCTTGAAAATAGGCTTCTGTTTCGGCGATTACTACCTTATCGAAGCGATATCTCTGGCCAAGGAGCATTTTTTTAGATCGGAAAAAAGGTGGTAATCGCTGAGGACCAGATCTGGATTACACGGTGGGTGCGGAAGCAATTCAAAACCCAATTCGTGTATTTTTGCCATCGTTTTTATCGACCTGTGACACGGTGCATTATCTTGGTGGAACAAATTTTTTTTTCCTGATCTAATGAGGCCTTTGCTTGTACGATTTTGATCTTCAAATGCTCCAATAAACCAATATAGTAGTCACCGTTAATTGTTTCTCCATGTTTCAAAAAGTTAATGAAAATAATTCCCCGTGGGTGCAAAAATACAGAAGCCATAACCTTTCCGCCGGTTTGTTGCATCTTTGGTCGCTTTGGACGGATTTTTCCGGGTGCTTTTCCGGGTCCTGGGTGAGTGAAGTCATGGATCCATGTTTCATCCATTCTAACATACCGACACAAAACTCTGACTTAATCCGAATTAACATGTCCAAATACCGCTGAGATTCATCAATTCGTTATTGTTTTTGCTCTGACATAAGAAAACGCAGCATTCATTTGGAAAACAGCTTTCTCATACCCAAATGTCCATGTATAATTTGTCAAAATGATACCCTTGAATAACGAGTGTCAGCTATCCCTTGCTACTTCACTTTGCGGCTTCCCATAATAATGTTCAGCATTTTTTAGATGTTTTCAGGAATAACTGCATCATTTGGCCTTGTTTGAGTCGGTACTACCGCGTTTGAATTCAGCAAACTATCATTTAATGGTTCTAATCGATGGAGCAGAGTCCCTGTAAAACTTTTTCGTTCGTTGCTCAGTCTGGACGGTATTTTTCCCATCAAAGAACAGTAATAAATCAGCACACGAAATTGTTTTGAATCTATCGTTTATAAAAATCACAAAAGTAGAGTCACTTCAAACACTGTAACATAATCCGAATTACTTAATGTCGGATGGAAAATTCATTAGAGTCGCCATCTCATGGTTAGACTCGGGACTTATTGACTGACGTATATTTGTGTACCTCAAAGCATCGTCGATCATAGAAACGTCGATACTTTGGAGGAACCCATCTAGTTCATTTTTTATACCTTCACGACTAGTCAGACCAGTAGGGCATGTCTTATATTTAAATTTCAAGTAAATATTTTACGTTGTCCATCTTACCATTAGAAACTGTTCAGTAAAGTACGATCGTTTTAGCCTGTCGCATAAGTAATAAAAGTGTCTGTTCTTCATATGAAGTCGCCATTAAGTTTATTATTTTAAATAGAAACTGTGCTTTTTGTTATTTTTTTAGAATCTACGTAAAATACCGGATCGATTTTTATTGGGATACCATTCTCGAAAAAATAGCCGTTTTTGAAAAATGTTTCATATTGCACATGCAACTTCAAACATTAATATTGTGGTTAATATTTATGCTGAAAAAACTAATATTATTTTTCAGCGTGTACTAAACTCTATTTTTATTTAAGCTTAAAAGATTTGCCAATGTTAATACTGGGTGTTCAAAATTTTGTATTATATTTTTATTTTTATATATTTTATAAATATATCTATAAAAATATATATCTATATAAAACAAAGCTTATTCGTACTTCCCACACACAACTTCTCAAACCCACAAAGGTAGGTTGTCCTCTTGCGGTAAAACCAGCCCCGGCTTTCCTCCGCCCCCTGGTCTTTGGAGTCAGGTCTCGACTATTTCGCGGTATCCCCCGTCAGGCAATGGGAGATTTTCGTGTATTTACATTTAAGTCATTCGTCC